AAATATAATTCGTGACATTTCGTTTTCATTTTGGTCATTTAGCCTGTGAGCAATACCGCGCGTACATATTTGCTAATTAATTAAGCTAATCGCGCTTCAATAAACTCAAGACTCACATGGAGCATAGCTAAGACATGTGTCTATAATAGCTAGAATTTCTAGAAATGTAACTCGAATCATTCGCACCATATGATTTTCCGGAACCCTTGGTTCCAACGCCTTTCCGAATTATCCGTTTTTCCGGACCAAAAGAGGTCACAGTATAATGGCTAAATGGCGACGCGGATACGCGGCTAAGTGGTTACGCGGCTACGTGGTTACGCGGCTACGTGGTTACGCGGCTACGTGGTTACGCGGCTACGTGGTTACGCGGCTACGTGGTTACGCGACTACATGGTTACGCGGCTACGTAGCGACGCGGTTACGTGGCGACGCGGCTATGTGGAGATGCGGTTATACGCGGCTACGTGGCGACGCAGTTATACATGGCTACGTGGCGACGCGGTTATATGCGGTGACGCGACTACTTGGCGATGCGGTTACGCGGTCAACTAATATGGGGGTGCAGGAATTACAAATGAATTTTATCCGGATTAAAAAAGGGTCCGGAACAGCAGTGTCTGGAAAATCGGTGTTGTAGAACCTACCTGTAGCTAAGCTAGAATGTAGATTAATAGTAATAATACTACTACTAGTACTACTACTAGAAATGCAACTCAAATCGTTCGCACCATATGATAGTTAGCTACTACACTTTCCTACTGGTCATACCGTATGCGGCGGTGTATGTAAAATGAAAACGAAACGTCACGAATTCTATTAATATTATTATCCCCCAATCACAGGTCGGAGTAATTACTCAGGTAGTTATGTGAGCCGTCGTGATTAATTGTGAATTATTTCAATATTTGCCGATATCGTAATCTACAAGTCAAACCTCTATGAAAATTCACGTTACCAGTTTCTTCAAATACACACCTAAAGTAAAGTGTTCTGTACATTTGATGTGCTTCATAGTAATTCTCCTGTTGTATACTCTGCCTCAGTTTTCTTAGCACACGATTAGCTCCTTGGCCTCGGTTAGCTGCCATATTGGAAACTTACCGGTACAGTGGTTGTACCGGTGAAAAAACGAGTTATAAACATAATCACCAAATCAAATTCTTAAATTAATTTGATTTGTTATTTTTTTACCTAGTAAAAATACTATTTAATTATATTGTAAATTTACCACATGGATAAATATATATATATTATAATAAACAATATTTATAACATTTTATACTGAAAACCGCTGCTAGCGGAACCGGAAATATGCGGAACTCGGTGCTGTTGACTGAAATTTGTAAATAAACGTAGCACAGAACCTGACTGAACACACCGGTTTGCACCAAACGCTGCTTGCTATCACATTAATTTAACGAACAGAGACATTAGTGAGACAAACACACTAGTTCGATTGTCTGTCTGGTGAGGATGCAGAACAGTACAGGTGGCAGTGTTGGTGCCAATGCCAATGGTGGTGTACATGCTTCGACATCAGTTGTCACAATGCAGATAGTTGATACGAAATATACTGCAGATTCCATAGAGTGGTGTCCGATTCCTACACGGCAACATCTATTTGTTGCGGCTACATATCAGCTGTGCGAGAGTAAAGTAAGATTTACTACTAACCTCCATGATAAATATGTATAATGTAGTAGCATTTGTTTGTGTGAGCACAGAGCAGATCGAGTTAGCCCCCACTTGGCTGGGTTAGTATATAATTATCACTATAGTATATATGTGCAGTGAAGGTGTAAAATAAAGTTAAAAACAAAGCGAGCATTATGCAACGGGGCCATAGGCTGAGCGAATTCCTAGTGGGTGGGGGGCAGTGGCGGATCCGGGATTTTAAGGAGGGGATGAGAAACAGGTGGGGGGTCTGGGCCCTGGAGGCCCTCCCACAGAAAATGTTGAAAATGTAGATCGCACGAGATGGTATTTGATGCACTTTTGAGTACATGTACAACCTTTATTCTGACTACGACAATTCTCTTTTAGTAGAACAATTTATTTTTTAGCTCATCTGACATAGTCAGATGCAGCTTGTAGAATCGCATGAGCGTGCGTCCATCCGGCCGTCCGTCAACAGTTGGGCACAAATCTTAAAGCGATTTTTGCGAGAATTTTCCAGTGTTTTCACCAATTTCATGATAGCTATCGTTATTGCGTGAGTAACAGCAATTGTCTAGAGTAACAATAAAATGTCTTAGAACCTTCGTATTCACCAAAAACTACCAGTTTCGAACTACTGGTTTCGAACTAGTTTCGTAAACATTCATTTTCTGTTATCTTGAACTAGGCGGAAGTGTGGATTAGCTTGTAGCCCACCGCTTATCTGCCATAGACAAAGCATGGCTCTCTCAAATCATGCACTTGTTTTCAATTAATCACCGACACAAATACAAGTTTACCAATTCTGCCATTAGGCATTGTCGCGACACGATAAAATGCATTGCTGTTACGATGTGTTCATATCCAATTTTCTATCCTATAACGGCATAAAATCTTAGTATTTTTAATGTTGGTGTAATCAGTGATATTTTCGCTGTCTGATGAGACTATATTCAGCTATATTTAGTTTTTCTGAGCAAAAATCTAGATATTGGACAAACTAATACGCGTTTGGCTATAAGGTTATGTACTTATTAACTACACAAGGTGCCAGTTACTCTAGCATTCGTCAACATTGCATAATCAATGGGCCTAGTATGCCTTTAACAACAGCAAAGCTTTATGTGAACGGTTGGTGTGATGCATCATTGAAACACGCATTTTCTGCCTACCTGGCCACGTTCAAGCAGTAGCGTGGCACCTTCATAAAGCAAGTCGATTACTTCTACAAACTTTTGTTGTGTCATGTATCTGCAAAATAAAAACTTCCTATATTATAGTGTGTATACATAACGCGAGTATGGAGTCAATTTGTTCTCGATTTAAGGGCAGGATTTACTGGTTTGACAAACGTAGGAGTCTGTGCGACTACCTGAAAAATCGACTAGTTTGTTCTACAGTGCAGCGCTGCCTCACAGAAATAACATATATTTATACAGCAAACAGCCCACAAAAATTTGAAAGGTGCACAGTGTGTGCACATTTTACAATGTCCAAACATGAATGATTCACACATTGGAAAATAGTGCTATTTCACGACATGATTATTCTACTTTGCCTGCGAGTCTAGAATAATTTTATGGTATTGCATTAAGCAGAATTCTTTGCTCTCTAAAACAAGACCAACCGCTTGTCAATACGATACTCCTAGGCTGAGATATTGGCTCCTAAACCTCCCCTCCCACAAGCCTCACATCCAGCTTATTCAGCCACCTTCTCGGCGCTAAGGTTGCTTCGTGAGAGTTCGGTTTTTCCGCGATAACTTTATGAATGAACGGCGTTTCGGTTATGACTTTCGGGGGCATCGCCTATGCCCTTATCTCCCATTATCTTTCCTAGCACGGCTAATGCCCGTCATGATGGAGCCGGCAATGTTTTCTAAATTAAGTCTCTACAATGCAGCTCAGTTACTATATGGTGTAGTAAGTAAAGAGTACCAAATTTGGGCATGTGACATCAATTATCAGCGCTCCAAGCGGTGACGGAAACCGATAGCCAAAATGCTTAGCGGCGAGAAGGTGGCTGAATAAGCTGGATGCGAGGCGGCGTGAGGCATGTGGGAGGGGCAGTTTAGGAGCCAATATCTCAGCCTAGGAGTATCGTATTGACAAGCGGTTGGTCTTGTTTTAGACAGCAAAGAATTCTGCTTAATGCAATACCATAAAATTATTCTAGACTCGCAAGCAAAGTAGAATAATGTTGTAGTGAAATAGCACTATTTTCCCGTTTTTCCGTTGTACACTCTAGGTATTATTAGCGCTTGATGTTATCATCATGTTGTGTAATTAAGAGCTTATTGTTTTTCATTATGCTTAATTGTACATGTTTTTTATATACCTAAAAGTTATTCATTTACGATTTAGCTTCTCTCACTGCATAGCAAATTCAAGTGTGCAGTCATTGACTGGCAATTCAGACTGCAGCTTCCAAGACTGAACATTCAAAATGCACTTACTAAAAAACAAGTGCCGCGGAGCGACAGCGCTCATCTAACGTCTACTGCGGTGACTCTGTGGTGGAGTCGTGGGATTCTAGAAAACCCTGTTAGTCCCAAATGTGTTCACATACACGCCAAAGCAGTGGAATGCACAGGGATGGTATCAGGAACCTTCTCAAAGGAATGTTCGTTGGGATCGTTATGAAAGTTGCCACGAGATGGCGCGCTACGTTATAGGTTGTCTGTCAGCATTAAAGATGGAAGCTCCATCGTACGTGAGTGCAACAATGATTTTGCAAGGGACAGGAATAGAGTAAGCACTCATCCAATTACTACGGCAAGCCTACAGGCTGCATTAGAGAGCTAGCCAGCCTGAAACCAATTATACGCAGGCAAAAAACTACACAGTACCACCACAGATGCACTGGCAGTGGCAGGTGGCATACCGGGCTATACATGTAACATTACTGACAGTACATGATGCATAGAAATTATACGATTTAAGGCGCCATAAACCTTCTTTCAACCAGAATTTGCTTTGTGAATTGTCACTGTGACATTGATTAGTCTCAATACATCGAGGACTGTATATTTCTTACTAGCACAAACCGGCAGTTCAAGTTCTTTCTAACAGACAGTAGAACAATCCATGTTTAGCACCCTCCTTCTGAGGTCAGAAAGTTTATCTGACATTACTCTTCACATGTCAGCAGAAGGTCATCATTTATGTGCTCTATTCATGAAAACATAAAAATGACTAGTGTCACCTGCTGAACAAAAAAGTTTTCCAATCGCTCCGCGTCAGACCATGTCCTCAGAAAATGTGTTAAAAATCTGCCCTGTGGCCACTTGACATTTGAACCCCTGTAACTTCAGATTTCGGCCAGGATGGTGTTTCTACACATGATGCTTTACACCGACTATTCACAAGGCCTAGGTCGAGCCGTTTAGATTATGTGCCGCAATTACTGCATTTCCTCCCATATACCTTAAGTTAAAGGAGTGGAATTTCCCCCTTTCTTTTCACCTCTTGACCTTTGGACTTTGACCCCAGTCTTTCGAACTCCCAAATCGTTTCGTCGGAATTACCCCCCACGTCCCGAATATCGTGACCGTACGTCGAACTCGGTTAAGATTTGTGCCCGAACTGTTGACGGACGGAGCGGACCGCTCGCAACGGCCAGAACGGCGATTCGATGCGATTACTACAAGCTGGCATTTCACTATGTCAGATGAGCTGAATCATATGTACTATGTAGATAATTTTAAATTTGATATTAGCTTAAATTACTACGTCTACGGAATTTTATCTATGGTAAAATTTGTAAAATTTTTTGCCATTTTGTTACATTAAAAGTACAGAGACTAATGGACTAATGATATTCGTCAACTATTTACCGTGCATAAGATTGCTTTTGCAACTAGTTAAAAATCCAAAAAAATCCTGGACGAATTTGGATATTATGTTCACTGGACATTAATTGTTGCCTATTGCGGCTCATGTATGAGTCCACGATGTGTATGTTCACATCAAACAACTATAAGTTAAAAAGAAGTATATATGCAGCCAATTTTAACCATGAATAGGACAGAACTCTATTTATATTTTGTGGAAAAATTGATTTTTTTTTTTCTATTTACGGTGACGTAATCACTTTAAATAAATTTGTGAAATCTAAATATGAAGAAGTTTGAGTAACGACCGTACCTACTCACTACACATGCATCTAAACAGAGAATTGCTCCGACCTGTTGATTGGAGGATAAAAATATAATCGAAGTGGGCTACGCGTCCAGAATCCGGTCGCTAGACCTCCAAGCTACGCGTCCGGACATCACTCAGCACTGTAAATCGGCGCGACTCGCATCACACGCATGATCTGCCGCAACGCGGACGCTCTGCTGCCGTCTATCCTTTCATCCGTTCTCTCTCGCTCTCTCTCTCTCTCACACAACATACACACTGCGCGCAGCTCTCTCTCGTGCGCTCTCTCTATCTCTCTCTCACGCATACACACACACATACACACACACATACGCCATTCCCATTCCCCTCTCTCTCTCTCTCTCACACACGCACGCACGCACGCACGCACGCCACCACACACACACACACGGCAATCAGCAGAGGCGTCCATTGTGCAATCACGCGTGTAACTGTTCGCAAGGTTCTCTGTGTGAGATAGATATCCGGACGCGTAGCTAGCGGCTCCTCGTCCGGAACCGTCGCGTAGCCACGGCCAAATATAATTCGTGACATTTCGTTTTCATTTTGGCATTTAGCGCTGTGAGCAATACCGCGCGTACATATTTGCTAATTAATTAGCTAATCGCGCTTCAATAAACTCAAGACTCACATGGCAGTAGCTAAGACATGTCTATAATAGCTAGAATTTCTAGAAATGTAACTCGAATCATTCGCACCATATGATTTTCCGCGAACCCTTGGTTTCCAACGCCTTTCCGAATTATCCTTTTTCCGGACCAAAAGAGGTCAAGTATAATGGCTAATGGCGACGCGGATACGCGGCTAAGTGGTTACGCGGCTACGTGTTACGCGGCTACGTGGTTACGCGTCGTGGTACGCGCGCTACGTCGGTTACGCGGCTACGTGGTTACGCGGCTACGTGGGTACGCCGACTACCATGGTTACGCGGCTACGTAGCGACCGGTTACGTGGCGACGCGGCTATGTGGAGATGCGGTTATACGCGGCTACGTTGGCGACGCAGTTATACATGGCTACGTGCGACCGACGCGTTATATGCGGTGACGCGACTACTTGGCGATGCGGTTACCGCTGTCAACTAATATGGGGGTGCAGGAATTACAAATGAATTTTATCCGATTAAAAAAGGGTCCGGAACAGCAGTGTCTGGAAAATCGGTGTTGTAGAACCTACCTGTAGCCTAAGCTAGAATGTAGATTAATAGTAATAATACTACTACTAGTACTACTACTAGAAATGCAACTCAAATCGTTCGCACATATGATAGTTAGCTACTACACTTTCCTACTGGTCATACCGTATGCGGGCGGTGTATGTAAAATGAAAACGAAACGTCACGAATTCTTTAATATTATTATCCCCAATCACAGGTCGGAGTAAATTACTCAGGTAGTTACGTGAGCCGTCGTGATTAATTGTGAATTATTTCAATATTTGCGACATCGTAATCTACAAGTCAAACCTCTATGAAAATTCACGTTACCAGTTTCTTCAAATACACACCTAAAGTAAAGTGTTCTGTACATTTGATGTGCTCATAGTAATTCTCCTGTTGTATACTCTGCCTCAGTTTTCTTAGCACACGATTAGCTTCCTTGGCCTCGGTTAGCTGCCATATTGGAAACTTACGCGTACAGTGGTTGTACCGGTGAAAAACGAGTTATAAACATAATCCCAAATCAAATTCTTAATTAATTTGATTTGTTATTTTTTTACTAGTAAAAAATACTATTTAATTATATTGTAAATTTACCCATGGATAAATATATATATTATAATAAACAATATTTATAACATTTTATCTGAAAACCGCTGCTAGCGAACCGGAAATATGCGGAACTCGCGTGCTGTTGACTGAAATTTGTAAATAAACGTAGCACAGAACCTGACTGAACACACCGGTTTGCACCAAACGCTGCTTGCTATCACATTAATTTAACGAACAGAGACATTAGTGAGACAAACACACTAGTTCGATTGTCTGTCTGGTGAGGATGCAGAACAGTACAGTGGCAGTGTTTGGTGCCAATGCCAATGGTGGTGTACATGCTTCGACATCAGTTGTCACAATGCAGTATAGTTGATACGAAATATACTGCAGATTCCATAGGTGGTGTCCGATTCCTACACGGCAACATCTATTTGTTGCGGCTACATATCAGCTGTGCGAGAGTAAAGTAAGATTTACTACTAACCTCATGATAAATATGTATAATGTAGTAGCGTTTGTTTGTGTGAGCACAGAGCCAGATCGAGTTAGCCCCACTTGGCTGGGTTAAGTATATATCACATTAGTATATATGTGCAGTGAAGGTGTAAAATAAGTTAAAAACAAAGCGAGCATTATGCAACGGGGCCATAGGCTGAGCGAATTCCTAGTGGGTGGGGGGGCAGTGGCGGATCCGGGATTTTAAGGAGGGGATGAGAAACAGGGGGCGTGGGGTCTGGGCCCTGGAGGCCCTCCACAGAAAATGTTGAAAATGTAGATCGCACGAGATGGTATTTGATGCACTTTTGAGTACATGTACAACCTTTATTTCTGACTACGACAATTCTCTTTTAGTAGAACAATTTATTTTTTTAGCTCATCTGACATAGTCAGATGCAGCTTGTAGAATCGCATGAGGCGTGCGTCGTTGCGTCATCCGTCCGTCCGTCAACAGTTGGGCACAAATCTTAAAGCGATTTTTGCCCGAGAATTTTCAGTGTTTTTCACAATTTCATGATAGCTATCGTTATTGCGTGCAGTAACAAGCATTGGCTAGAGTAACATAAAATGTCTTAGAACTTCGTATTCACCAAAAACTACCAGTTTCGAACTACTGGCTGGTTTCGAACTAGTTTCGTAAACATTCATTTTCTGTTATCTTGAACTAGGCGGAAGTGTGGATTAGCTTGTACCCACCGCTTATCTGCCATAGACAAAGCATGGCTCTCTCAAATCATGCACTTGTTTTCAATTACATCACCGACACAAATACAAGTTTACAATTCTGCATTAGGCATTGTCGCGACACGATAAAATGCATTGCTGTTACGATGTGTTCATATCCAATTTTCTATCCTATAACGGCATAAAATCTTAGTATTTTTAATGTTGGTGTAATCAGTGATATTTTTCGCTGTTGATGAGACTATATTCAGCTATATTTAGTTTTTCTGAGCAAAAATCTCGCAATAGTCATTTTAACCGCTTGACGTATGGTCACGATATTCGGGACGTGGGGGTGGGGGGGGGGGGGTTGTAATCGAAACGAGTTGGGATGCGAAGCTGGGGGTCAGAGGTCAAAGGTCAAGAGGTGTAAAAGAAGGGGGAACTTCCCTCCTTAACTTAAGGTTATAGGGAGGAATGCACATTGCGGCACAAATCTAAACGGTCGACCTAGGCTTGTGATAGTCGATGTATAGCATCATGGTAGGAAAAGCCATCACTGTGCCGAAATTGGAGGTCACAGGTCAAAGGTCAATGGGCACAGGGCAGATTTTAGACATTTTCTGAGGACATGGTTGACGGAGCGATTGAAAACTTTTTTGTTTCAGCGGTGACCTAGCATTTTTATGGCTTATATGAAAGGACCATGAAATGTACTTTCTGCGACATGCGAAGAGTAAGTGTTGGATAACCTTTTGACCCTCAAGATGCAGGTTAAACATGGATTTGTTTACTGTTAGAAAGAATTTGACTGCCGGGTTTGCTAGTAGAATCTATACATGCCTGTATGTATGAGGCTACAATGTCACAGTGAAATTTCAAAAGCTAAATTTGGTTGAAGAAGGTTTATGCTCCTTAAATCGTATAATTTCTATGGCATTCTGTATTGTCAGTATGTTACATGTAACGTATGCCACTGCCAGTGGCCACTGCCAGTGCATGTGGTGGTTTGACTGTGTAGTTTTGCCTGCATTAATTAGTTACAGGTGGCAGCTCTCTATTTCAGCCTGTAGGCTTGCGTAGGTAAATGGATGAGTGCTTACCTATTCTGTCTTGCAAATAGTTGTTGCTACTACGTACGATGGAGCTTCCATCTTTAATCTGAAGACACTTAAACGTACGCGCCATCTCGTGGCAACTTTTATAACGATCCCAACGAACATTCCTTTGAGAAGGTTCCTGATACCATCCCTGTCGCCTTCCACTGTTTCGGCGTGTATGTGAACACATTTGGGACTAACAGGGTTTACTAGAATCCCACCACTCCACCACAGAGTCACCGCAGTAGACGTTAGATGAGCGCTGTTCCTCCGCGGCACTTGTTTAATTTTGCTCCAAAATCTAGAGGGGCGGGTACCCCCCCCCCCAGGCTATGGCCCTGTGCAAATTTTGCGTTCATACCTGCCTATACGCTCTATCTTTTTGTGAGTTTGTGCATTTTGTGTTGCCGAGGAGCATTTGAACAACGTTTACGGGGAATTATTGCTATCAGTACCTGTTAATAGGAGAAGGAGAGTGGATATATCTACTCTCATTCACCTATTAAACCGTATAAACACTAAAACTTCGGTAGTCAGTATAATTCGTGTTCATTTACTATACAAGTTGATTATTGAAATGGCTTAAGTGTCTGTCGTTAGTCTGCTAGTCTTGTTAAGGAGTTGTATATTGTTTCATTCCATTTCAGATTTGTTTCAATATTAACAGCTCAATTAGCTAAGTTTTCACCTGACTAAGTTGGTCCAACTCAGCCTATTTCTGGCCTAGACATTCCCCGTTCATTTCCTATATATACTGCTGGTTGTAGTATCTAGTTCTAGATTGCACACGTATCTGTTATTACTTTCAGCATAATGCAGGGAGCACACGGGTTGGGGAGGTGACACTGTTCAGTGCTGACGGTGTTAAACAGCTGAAGAAATGCCATTCAGTCTCGTGTGCTGGTATTTTAGACTGCAAATGGTACACCATCGCACTGAACAGCCCACCAATGCTGGCTGCAGCACTATCGTCTGGAGACGTTCTCTTTCTTGAGCTGCAGGAAGTGTGTCAGAACAGTTGCCTCGTTGAGAAGCACAGGTTGTCAATTGGCAAAGATAGTATAGCCCTCTCCCTTGACTGGACAGCATTTGAGAATGACAGGTAAGAAGTTTTTTGTCTGTGGTCTTTTTTTGGTGAGTTATGAGGCAGATATGTTAAAAATAAAAGCTGATAAAAGGCATTTCAAATGCTGATAATGTATGGCAATTGTTTTAATGTGTTGGTAAGATTTTAATAAAGTCAGATGTGTAGATATTTCTTATAGTTATAATTGCAATGTTACATGGTCAGAAACAGTGAAACATAAAACTATCACCACATTTATCTATGTAAAGCTATTGGGCCCTAGAATAGTGTGATATCAAAATTGGTGATTTAAATTTTTCTGTGACAGTGCGTCAGTCATAGTGAGTGATTCACTAGGGAATCTAAGCCTATGTGAGGAAGGGCAATCTGAATTCTCTGTAATGCAGCAATGGCAGGCACATGATTACGAGGCTTGGATTGCAGCGTTTGATAAATGGAACCGAAACGTCTTGTACTCTGGTAATTTTGTAATGCCTTGTGAAAAAATACTGCACAATAGAAATCAACAAAAAACTATTAATATTAAAGAAATTAATGTGTATTTAAGTGCTAAATCTTGCTATTTCGTTAAAAGCAGCTGTTCAATTATATGCCTGACTAACATTCTGTTGGTTAATATAATGGGAGATTGAAATTTTAGGTGGCGACGATTGTAAGTTGAAAGGCTGGGATATCCGAGCGCCGCCTACTTTGCCAACATTCACAAGCAAGCAGCACTCTATGGGCGTTTGTAGCATACAGAGTAACAAACATCGGGAGCACTTGTTTGCATCAGGAAGGTGTGCGCAGTTCTCTCTTTTACATTTGACGAGTTTTATTTGTATAAATCATGAGACTGGTGGAATGCAGTCATTCACTTGTTTCATTATGAAAAATTGTGTACTGACAGTTGAATGTAAAGACTTCATATGTGGAATGAAATTGTTTTATTATAGCTATGATGAAAAAATACTGCTATGGGACAACAGGAACATAAAGTGCCCACTGTCTACAACACATGTTGGTGGTGGAGTCTGGAGGTTAAAATGGGAACCATTATATGGAGACCATCTTCTAGCTGCTTGCATGCACAACGGATTTCACATTCTGGATTGTACAAATTTGGAAGGTTACTTATCACATCGTAACTGTTATTGAAAAGGCAATTTTAGTGCTGTACTCTGTTGTGACATTAATCCATCAATGGTTCAGTAACCAAACGATTAAATAATATCACAAGGTGTAATTGGAAACCAAAGCATGTGAAGTAGGATGATATATCAACGATGACATAAATCACCATGTACCCTCTTTTGCAGAGAATGGGCAGAAGATTGTGGCCTCTTATATGGAGCATAGTTCCTTAGCTTATGGTGCTGACTGGGGAATGCCTATAGCCCAATTGGACAGAAATCAAAGTACTGCAGGAGATGGCAATGCCACAGACAGCATAAGGAGAAATATTGACGGTGACACGTCTGGAAATGCTTCAGACAACCGACGCAGCGTAGAGCGTGGTGCAGCTGAATGCCTCAAAACTGTGCCAAACACGTCTCAGCACACGAGCTTGACATCGAAATGCTTGGGATACACGCTTGCGTCCTGCTCATTCTATGACCACGTCATGCATCTGTGGCAGTGGTGCTGGTAGCGTATCGTGCAGGACATAAGATGCTATGCCTGTGATTAAGCAGATGTGTAATCAACTGATAGCTAAATTGTGAATCTAAAATATATCTGTGTTCTGCCCTCTTCTTGCGTGTGTGGATTTGTATTGCTTGGTCAGTTTACAGCACTAATGATTGTACACACAGTATAACTTGTTGTATATTCATATAAAGCATAAATTTGTTGAAATCTACATATTTTTATATGTCTTTATACGTTATACCAGCTTATACTACTGTTATGTAGAGCTGCAATGATTAATTGTGATATAACTAATGACAATACAATTCCGCAATGTGCCAAAAATACATCTGTAGTCTGTACTCAACTCGGGTCAACCGTCCACTCGATGCCTTCATTAATTTGAATTTTGGTCAGGTGCACCAATCATGTTTTCGTGAAATAGCTGGAGCATGCTGATTCGACAATGTCATATTCACTGTCTAATCACTACGTGCCTTGTAAATTCTGACTATATTTCCACGAAATGGAATGACATTTCTGAAAAGATATGCACACAAGCCGTGTGCACAGATGCTGTTTGGCTGGACGATTGCTTATACTAACGTATTTAAAGTAATCAGATCATGCATTGCGTATTGCGACGATTCATTACTGTGTTATGTACAGTGTTGTAGGTCTCGAGGCCGATTTTTTTGGTCTCGGAGTGCAATGACTCGGACTCGGACTCAAAGACTCTGGTCGAGGCCGGCTCGAGGCCACTACATAGTACATAACTGTACATGTTGTAAACATGCAGTTTACAAGAATTTAAAACTAAAACTCCTACCTAATACAAACAAGTGACAGATCCAGGGGGCAGGAGACACCCCCCATTTTTTTACAAACACATACATAGAAGTGAGCGGCCTTGTCGGTCTGTGCCCGCCTTTTTTAAAATCAAAACTGGACTCTGACTCGGGTGGTGTGAACTCGGACTCTGACTCGGGTGGCGTGGACTCGGGGGGGGGGGGATTGCGGACTCGACTACAACACTGGTTATGTACCATATAGTGATAGGTATTGTATTGTGAACTAGGCATATCATTGCAGCCCTACCATTTTGCCTTGTTATGGTACATTGCCATGTTGCTTAGCTGTGTTAATAGTGATTGCACACAACTGAGCATTGTTACCTCCGCCAGGGGCTTGGCGGAGGTTATGTTTTCACCGGCGTGTTTTGAGTCTTGGTTTGTGGGTTTGTGTACGCTCGCTGATTGGCTGATTGGCCTGCCGCCGCCGCCGGAACCGCCTGTATCATACAGGTTAAGCCTAACTGAAAAAGTTATGGACGGATTGTCATAAAATTTTCAGGATACGTCAGAAATGGGCCAACTTAGAATTGATGAGATTTTGGTGGTGATCCGGATCCAATTCATTCATTAATTCATTCATTAATTAATAACATTTTCAGGATAGGTCAGAAATGGGGTAACTTAGAATTGATTACATTTTGGTGGTGATCCGGATCCAATTAATTAATAAAATTTCCAGGATAGGTCAGAAATGGGGTAACTTAGAATTGATTACATTTTGGTGGTGATCCGAATCCAATTAATTAATTAAATTTTCACTTTAATATTAATTACATTAATAAAAAATTTCACATGAGCAACTTCAGGCTCCCTGCGCGGAGAGTCTGCTGCTCACCGGACGTGCTCTACGCTCTACTGCTATGCCTTTACCTGCAGATACTACGACCTCCGTTTATATTTTTTTTAAATCCAAATGACAGCTCGAGTGCTGACTGAAATATCTTAAAAATCTTAGGTGAAGAGATTTGGAGCAACCCTTGGCAGTGGTTACACCTGACTACCAAACCTGTCACTGCTGGAGTGAAAGTTACATGAAAACCTTTCTCATTTTTTAGCCTCATCTGACGAAGTCAGATGCCAGCTTTCTAGGAATAGCGCATAATGAGCGGTGCGGCCAGTGCCTGTCCGCGTGCCCGTTCTTCACCTGTGCCTCCGTCAACAGATTGAAGCACAATCTTTTAAAACGTGATTACGTCCACGAATTTCGTCCAGCACCTCAGTCAGCTACATTTGCTGTAGTTAATTTGTACAGAACTAACACGATCTATTTGAAATACAGTTAGTGTTTCTGCTTTTACTTTTATGCATTATACTACCTTGCTTATATTTTGCACTAATTGCCGGTGAAAAAACAGTAGAGACGCCAGCTATCGGAACAGTACTGGGGGTAATAGTGTTAGAACAACAGCTCCTAATTACCAAATCGTCATAGACAATCTTCATGGCCAAAATTTAACCAACCGCTAAAAACATTTATATCAGGTGAGAGATCTCGGTGACTATATTAGTTAATCGTTAGTTCTTACCTTTAAATCGTACAAAAATGGCCAATATTTTTTGTTACAAATGTTACCATATGAAACAATTCGCTGACGTCAGTCCCTTTTAACCGCTCGACGTACCGCGTCACCGGTATTCGTTGACGCTTGGGGTGGGGGGGCCGAGTATCGTGAAAAGTGACTGGAGGATGACAATTATGGGGGCTCCAAGGTGTGAAAGGTCAAGATTGTGTAAATGGAGGGGAACTATTTCCCTTAAAATTTTTAACTTTAAAAAGTTATAGCGAGGAATACGGAATTGCTGCCACAAAATCTTACCACGCGCTCGACAATATGATCTTAATATTCGCGTGTATGGTAGTGTGCATGGGCCAGCGAAAACCCATCACCAGTTGCTCCGAAATTGGACCCCCGGTCACCCAGGATTCACAGGGCGAGCTGGGGGAAAGGTCAGATTAATTCAGCACCTCTCCCTCCGCGCGACATGGGCCTACATGGCAGAGGTCCGGAACACGTTTTTTGTTCGCGCTGACCTTCACCCTTTCTCATCACTTTATTACCACACAGGACCCATGACATATGTGCTTATCCACTGACCCGTCGGCGACGACGTACAGTGTCGACTCAACCTTTGCCCCTGCAAAAGCGGAGGCAGTTAACATGCGATCTTCTGCTGAACTCGCTTCATATTGCCCGTCAGTAGTTGTCATATTCATGGCACATCCATAATCTAGAAACCCAATAAGCCTGGATCTGATTTGTTATTATTTACCTGTTTTCTGTATTTTTCTATCCTTATCCATTTAACTATTTTTACAAATATTTACATGATTTATTTACAACAATTTAATAACAACAAATAAGTTTTACAACAATTAATATATTTTGTTTTAATAGGGTTAGGGTTAGGGTCACAATGCACCATAAAACAGGAGTTTCAGGCACGCGATTTGTATCAACCAATGGGATTTGGGAGGTATGCAGAATGCAGAAGGTTGCTGAAATGATGTGTACGCAACTCCGTATCTGCGCATATGCATATCTGCGCCTAACAAATTAAGGTGTCACTACGCACGACTTAAATGTTACGTTTATAACCGTAGCAACAGACCTCAGATGAGCCCAGACGCTCTGCGGCTCTTGTTACTTTACAGCGTGTCTGGAGATAAACTTCACCCACTACAAAGCCAAGCAGATAGTCACAATATTTCGACGTACTATGTAAAATGACGTGAAAAACAAGATACACCTACATAGAAACGATGCCAGTGACCTTTCTTTTAAAACCAGTTTATTCTATTCATCATTATATAATATATATATATATATATATATATATATATATATATAATACACGAAACACTATTGGTCGTTTAACGGTAGTACGCAATTGAAAACATCAGTTTTTTAAATTGCTGATACCCAACCCTTCTCTTTAATTGTTACTTGAATTAAACATATCATAACACTGCGCCAGGTATACTCCATCATTATAGCTGCTAATAACTATTGAAATTTATTTGAATTGAAATAAGCAAAGATTTTAAACACCTACCCAAGACGAGGCTTAACAGAAAAGACGTGATGATTGAGCGCATGTTGGTTCCTACCTATTTTTAATTCATATCAGAAACAAAGAGAAATCAAACTAATATTACAATCACTGTCTGACACACATTTGGTAAGAATAAATAATGACTGACTGTCCTGATACACCTGATTTATCACTATGGACATGTATATAACAGTTGCACATTCTTATTTCACATATATATTCTAGCAGGCATATAAAAATGAAATATAAAAGTCATTTGACTTGAAATTGGGCAAAATGAATCAAACCTCATAAATAATGACAAAAAATAAGTAATCTCCAAATTGTCAAAATAAGTAAATAATAGTATCTCATTAATTCAATAACGACTGGTGTTTTGTAACCAAGTTTCATCAATGTTCCCTTGGCGCATATTCTTTGGTAAGTAGATGGACTGCTTGAACATGTCAGTCTCCTGTACGTACTGATTACTTACCTACTGTAAATACATACATTATGACCATCAGATTAACAAGCGCAATAAAATATACTAATTTGATATTGGTGCATCGATTCATTAATGCCTAGTTAACTCTAGTGACGAATTGAGACGCATGTAATGTGCAAGAATTTCGATCACGTGCCCAAAAAGCTGGAAATAACACCTGGTCAGTCATAATCCGATACATATCTTTGCAATAGAACTAACATTCTATGTCAGGCAGGCAAGCATACTCCACAATGTGTGGGCCACCCAGAATACTCATTGTTCCCCTGTTAAATTCAAGCTTTTTCACATGTATAACCTCACAGATGTGACCAGACATCTCCCATATTAACTGCCCAGGTTCGTGTATATGTCACACTAACAGCGTCTAATGAAAATTAAAAGCTGTTGAATAATCAGTAAAGTACACTATATTTTCACCATCTCTCATACTCTACCTGACTAGATTACTGCCAATAATTACCAATTGACACACAAGGAAATGACCAACTTGTGTACACTGGTTACGTGCAATTATACGGATGATTGTCATAAAATGTGTCATGCTATCTGTAAGAGAAAAATGCTCCCTTACTAGTGGAATGATAACAGTCTATAAATATCTTGTGGTAAATATAAATTAAGAAATAAATACCTACATGTATATATATATATATATATTCAGATATATGAATGTGTATGTTAATCCATGCATGTTGCTCACTGTCTGTAGAATAGCTTCTTTTTGCCCAACCTAGAACTTCCCGCAATCACACATTCATATACATGTAAGCACTCATGTCAGCAGACAAATGCACAATATTTTGATGGTGATATCGTTACGTAACAAGTAAAGCTGGAGTGACCTGTGCAATTAACACTGCCAAAACACCAGCAATAGTCGACACATCATGTCAAAATCCTCAGTGGTCTGGATATGATAACTATATTAAGCTACTGCAGTTCTTACCATGAACTGGCCCTTTTCAAACATACAGCATGCGTTTGGCATATACACATCACTTGTGTGCGTGTACCACTGCTACATTTCAATAGGTCCGCTTATATGACACGTTTATATTACATGCAAAACGACGCCAGGTTCAACAGATATGCATGCTTGCTGAACTGTGGGAGGGCTGCATTAAACCCTACATCACGTTTCACCCCAAATATGATCCGTGATTGCACTGCTTATTTGCGGTGCTAATCACCCAACTAACACTCTCACCCATGAGTGCAGTTTTCGTAGTCAAGGGTCATCGGCACATCACCTCCTCACACCATCACCCCCAATTCTCATGCTTTTGTCAAAAAGTGCACAATTCATTTGATTTTTGGCTCTTAGCTCCTGTACTACACCAGGCAGAGGTGGGGGACCTTTGATCGCCTGTTGCCATGACAACCCAGCATGCAGCGGCATTCAGAGGTCCCAGCTGAAGAGGTGATGCTTGACCAGCATGTCTCGCACTCCATCCTTCAATGGAGCAGACATCTCCTTCTTAACAGACAGCTCCCAGTCAAGCGACAAGTTGAATGCAAAGTTGGACAAGATTCTGCAGTGAGATGGAAAAAATAACACCACATGAGATAAAAAGTCTAAACAGACGTTGCAGCCAGTTTGGAGAGTGAAATATGAGATGCTCGATAAACGACTAGCAGTAGGTATCGCTAAAGAATGTCTGTAATACAGACTGTCATTGTGCTAGAAATAAACTGGAACAAGAGCAAGATAAATCGACACCTTAATAAGATGATAAGACATTAAGACAATAATAGCAATAGCAGGACAATAGGACAAATTATGCAAGACATTTGTTTATCAGGAGAATTTCTATTGCATAAAAATGATTTTTATTTGCTTTTACTGGTTGGTGTTCAGAACAGAATTATTTTTTATTGAATGATGGTTTTTTGCTATTACTAGTGACAGAGCATTATAGAATCGTGTAGTAACTATGCAATACTAATTTCTATTGCAATATCACACAGTCTCTACTTTGAGGGGTAATGCTATCCCCCGGGCGTGGAGGGAGGGGACCGCAACGTGGCAGCACTAGTGTTAGAATAGTGTTAGGATTAGGGTTAGGGTCAGGATTAGGGTTAAGTTTAGGGTTAGGGTTAGGGTTAGGGTTAGGGTTAGGATTAGAGTTAGGGTTAGGGTTAGGATTAGGGTTAGGGTTAGGGTTTTGCATCATGATATCTGTCCCCACACCATAGATTAATTTTTGTGGATAACACTGCCTATATATAGCGCGGCGACACATATATATTTAGTGTGAAGGTTAGTGTTGGCGGTGTTGGAGTTAGGGTTAACGTTAGGGTTAACGTTTTGAACGTCATCGTCAACGTTATCACGTGACCTCCCTCCACGCCCGGGGGATAGCAACACCCTACTTTGAGGCTCATAAAATATGGTGGCACACACCATGTGATGTAGAATGTTTACCTTAGCTCGCACTTGATTTGGACCCAGCCTGGACTCCTAAGGAAGGACCATGGTTGGTACCATTTCTCCAGAACCGGGATGCAAGAGCAGAGTGCTTCCAACCACAAGTGCAACACCTGCTCACTGCAATAAGAAACACGTCACAATAGTTCACCTGTCGTACGTACAAATTCACGAATAACTAACTCTTCCTCCCTCTTCTTCTTCTTCTCCTTCTTCATCATCTTCTTCTTCTTCTTCTTCTTCACATTAAATGGCCGGATAGTTTAGAGATGCTGCTATGGTTATAACAGAGCGACATAAGCCACAGGAAGAGGAGACCGTTATGTCGTCCTATCTTATTATCACTAAATGTTATATAATTCATGCACACATCAGCCACAAATGGATTAGCTTCTACAATTATAGCAGGACATACAGAAATGCACTGCATTATGTAAGTGATGATTCTGTAAAAACGTAACGTGAGAATCCATAACCTGGAATCACGATGCAAGGGAGGAAGTGCTAATAGCAAAAACACACAATTAATAAACAGAGCACAAGGTCAAACTTTCTAATGCAATAGTGGTATGTAACACATATTAACCTCCAAATGTGTTGGAAGGTGGCTGCATATTTATTACATAATTTTTTGAGGCGATTGAGCACGTCACTTTCTGGGTGTAAAAATCCACTGATGCTTTAGAAAGATCACACGACACTGAATTTTAGTTACAGTTCAAGGAGTAAAGTGATAATAATTTACAAATTACGCACGTGCAAATTTACATGACCAGGGGCGAATCCAGAGGGGGGGTCGAGGGGGTCCGGACCCCCCTTTTTTACCACAAAAAAAAAGAAAAAAAAGCATACACACACGCACGCGCGGGCACACACACACACACAC